AAATACATGTAGCAGCAAATGATATTTATTAAGAATAATGCAAATATTTTCAAATTCTCCATGTAAGATTTGAAAGCAATCTGTTACTGTATCTACATCTCATGTGTAGGCATTGTAAAACTTTCTCTTTGGGAGCAAAGAAAAGCTCTTTGTTTTAGAATAATGAAAGCAATTAAAACAAGAAGAAAAAAAAAGGTGAACTAAAGGATAGTCTATGTATTTTAAAATATTTTGCTATTGAAAATACAAGCTGATATTGTTCTTTAGGTCTGTGTTTCCTGTTGTGAGAATAAAACTCACCCAGTAAAGTTCCATACCCACTGTTGCCCAAGGAGTTTAGGTTGAGACCTTTTCAGGCTTACTCAGGTTTTACCAAGAATCTTCATGTATTTAGTGGGCCTTACTGTTAATTTTTCCAAAATATGTCATGTTTGTCTCCAGATTTGTCTGTTATACAGAACTCAATTTGGATGTCTCCAGAGAAGAAATAAGATATTTTTTCAGGGGATTGGGAATGGTGATGGGGTAGTCCTGTGTCATTGCCATTATTCATGTCTGGCAATTTTCACACTCGTGTCACAAGTGTAAATGTTTATATGTAATACAAGATTATGCTTAAGTGTTTACAAGTGATATAAGACCTGATACGCTTTTCAGTTTCTCTGAACTTCTCTGAATATTCGGTTTTCAACATGTAGAAAATGCAGATCCAGCAAATTGATAGTCATGTGAAACACTATCAGTATGTCTTTACCCCGAGATGCTAGTAATTGTAATGTGTGCTTAGATGTACGAACACGATCTACAAGAAATGTGTGATATGTGAAATTCTGAAGTAAATCAGAAGTAAATCTGCTGAATTTCATAGGATATTAAAAAAAAGAGCATAAAAGAGATCAGAGCCTAGATAGCTCTGGGATCTTAAGTATATTCTGTATGTCAGTTAAAACCTAAATGTTAAAAAGGATTATTGAGTAACATTTCTGTAGTCAACAAATTCACTTTCTGAGAAGTATAAATCTGCAATCACTGTAGTAAATTTGTTTAACCAAAGGAGTAAAGAATAAGGTCCCCTGAGTGTGGCTTCAGCCCAATTTTAACTTGCTGCTGCCACCTTGGAAAGAGCTATTAGAACTTGTTTTTAACTCGCAATTTATTTGAATCTTGAGCTATGATTTATTTGGATATAGTAGTGTCTAGATTATATTTTTCTTGCTGTTGCTGTTGAGCTCATGTAATAGTTCTACATTCAGATTTTAAAAGTTATTTGAAGATACTCCTACCAATGCTATTCATGTTTTACCTGTGTAATCAGTTTTACCAGGTTTACAGAAACAACCACATGCACTAGTGCTACACTAATATACATAATGTATTTATATTTCTTAAGGCAGATACAGTCAACTACAGCAGCAGTTAGCAGTTCAAATATTCTGCATTTTAAGTATTTCCATCTGCTGTGGTTGCAGGATACTCTGTACACATGTTCTATCAATTTGTTAAAGGTGGTGTCAAATGGCCTTGAGAATTTGTCGTGTTCATATGTCTTTCTAATGCAAAGCACAATTTGCATAGAATCCAAGGTAGTCATTTATGATTCAGCTGTCCAAAGACAGATGAAGTGTGTATTGCAGGCACTGTTTTATTTGTCACAGTTGTTAAAATGTTGAATTCCTCTCAGTTTTAACGTAGTAAAGTGAAAATCCTCAGAGACGGGAGCTTCTAAGTTAGCATACCAGTGTTGCAGCAAAGCACCTTCCAGAGTACCAAGTCCCATTTGGGTTCTTCTTGGCCTGCCTTTGTTTAGAGGCAGGAAGGTTATAAATCCTGATCTACATATTTCTATTCATAGCTGGTATACTTAAAAATGTAATATTAAATCACTGCAGTATCAGCTATATCCTGTCTCCTTCACTCTCCCTGCTCCCTTCCTCATTTATGTCATCAATAAAAGGAAACACATGTAATCCTTTGGCTTTGCTGCCACCATAGTCATGGCCTGGCAGATGCTTTTTGAACAGAGGGTAGATTTATAGTACTGGCAGTTGCTAACTCCTCTGAAGTCTGACTTACATGATCTTCCCAATGACCTCCTGTTTTGTTGACAGTTAGCAGGTTTTTCCCTTTGCTTGGTGTTTTAAATTTGTCCAACTTTCTTCTAATCTCATCGTTGGTCCCTATTTTCCTTTTCTGGTGGCATTTTTCAGACTTAATGCTGTGGTTTTTTTCTATTATTTTTCTGTTCACGTTAGAGCAGTGGTGATGCCAAGCCAACATCATCTTTTCTGTGTTACAAATGTTGCCTTCTCCAAGCATTGTGCAACAGAAATCTGATATTAGGGGAGGAAGTGGGGGAGGGCAAAGGAAAATCACAGAATGTTTTGTTTTGAAGAAATTAGTCTCTGAGAATGATGTCTCCTTCAAAACTGACAAAAAAGTCTTTTTTTCTGGACAATATCTTAGGGCCAAGTTTTGCTCTGGACAATCCTACTGGTTTTACGGAAATGGACACAAATGTGAATTAAGGGCAGCTTAGCTTAGTGGGGAGAGGGGGCTGGTGTGAATCAGAATTGTGTCTGCTGAAGTCACTGGAATAAGCAGATGTAAGGAATCTAAAATTAGATCAAAGACAGCTTTGGAAGTGTTTCATGCACTACATATGTGAATTTGAATACAAATGCCAAGGAGATGGTTAGATACACCCTTTTTTTGCCATAGAGAATAATACAAATAACCAAACCTAACCTTGAGGAAGATACTACAGCCCAGGTTTGTAACATCAGCTTCCCAGAGTTTATAATGGCCCTTTCTCCAAAATGGAATCCTGAAGTCCATTTAACCCCGAAATGAGTAAGATAATCAAGTTAACTCTTCAGATGCCTGAAGAACAGGGTCATAAAAAGGGAGCAAGTACATCTGGTACAGTTTGCAATAATGAATGTTTTCATAGGTGTTTAAGATGTACACATCATATACTATACTTTGCACTTTCTGCGGAACAACCTACACAGAGAAAGGCTGTTTTCAGAGAACTCACAGAAAATATGGTTTATGTTAACCACAATGCAAAACCAATTAAGGGGGTGTTGCAGAAACCTGCTTTTCATATGGCTTATTCGTACATTTCCTTAAAAATTACAGACCTGCTCCATGAAGTCTTTAGTCAGTCTAGCAAACTTCTGTGACATGAAGTTTTTGGTCTAGATGGTGATTTTTTTTTTTTTTTTTTAAGATTGGCTCAGATCTTTTTTAGGTAATTTATGTTTTACTCTATACTGAAGAATCCTGGAAATTACAAAATTAAGATAATGATGAAGAAACAAAAAGATGATAAGCATGTGTAAGGAGAATCTTGCACAGAAAAGCTCATTAGTGGCTTCCCTTTAGGCCAGTTTGATTATATGCAGCTGGGCACCGTGTACTCAGCCTGTGTCAGTTGAAAGATTTGTCTTGCATCATACTGAAATGTACTTTATCTCATGACTTATATCTGAAATTGAAATTGCTGGAGAAATGCTTTTCCCTATGTATATAGCTTATGACCTGGTTTTGGTGAGCTAGAGGATTCCTGCCACTAAAAGTTCAGATGTTTCTGTTTATGACGCTGCCTTTTCTAGGAAACCATTGGGAGGGCAGTCCATTGCAGCTAGAGCAAAATGAAGAACCCAGCCTTCACCCCCGCTGAGATCTCTGTACTTGCAGAGAGCTGCCCTAAAGAGAGAGCTTGGGACTTACCCAGAACAGCACTGATTTGTAATCCATTGTATTACTTGTATGGTTTATGCTGAGTACCTGGCAGGATTCAGCAATATATGGAGACTTGATTGCCCCCACATATTCAGAATAGGAATTCAATAACCAGAGAATTTCTTCACTTTGTAGCTTCAACAGCTAACCTGAGTTGTTCCTTCTCACTTGGATCCCACATTGTCTTGCAAAAGACCATTAAGATTCCTGCCTATTATTTGTTAAATCATGGACTTAGCCTTTTTATTGCCTGTTGGTTTTCAGTCTTTGTTTTCAATTTAATTAAGTAAAAAATGTTTACTTTGTTGCCTAAAATACCCATCTGTAGAACTTAAGCAATACAGAATTAGGGACCACAGAAAAAAGTAGGATGAAAGTGAAATAAGTATAATTGATTCAAAATAAAGGTGCCTCTAAAGCATCAACATTTCAGCAAGGCAATGTGCAGTGCTATAATACTAACTTTTACATGTAATTAATCTATTTAAATGTTGTTTTCCATACAGTTCTTTTGTAACTTTAGTGGAGTAAAGGAGGACTTACACCTTTTATAGAAGTTTCTGTATTAAGGAAGAACTTCAAAGAAGAAAATTGTTATATAGTGGTTTTCCATACATATCTCTTAATTATTTATTTGATGTCATGAGCTTGCAACTTTTATAACTTCATGTGTTACAGTAGCTGCTAACCAATAGTTCTAATAAAAATACAGATGGCTCAGTTGCCATCTGTACTTCTTCTGAGATTCTGCAATGAATATGTGATTAACCTTCTGTCACCACTTTTCAAAATAAGTTTTTTCCCTTTACCACAAGCCTTCCTTGTACCCCCACTTCCTCCTCATACCTCTTCCCCTGCTTGGAAACGTGTTAACAAACCTGAGGTTTTTATAGACATCTTACTTGTCTTTATGCTTTAAGGTTTTGTGGAGGATAAAGGAAAGTACATTGGAATTTTATGTTTCTGTACCTTGCACATTACAAAAAACAGACTCCCAAGATGGCTGAGTTTGAAAGACTGGAACAGATAATTAATTCATAAGTGGGTGTTGAAGTGGAAACTGTCAGGCCACAGCTTTCCCAGCTTTCAGTTAATTATTTGAAAGTCGTTTTCTGTTGTTTTCACTGACTGTAATCCCTTAGAGAGAATATAAAACTTGCACCATCCAGCATGGAATTCCACTCCTTTAATGACTTGGGCTCTGTGTTGACTCACTTTCACTCACTTTCACTCACTGTTGTCATTTCATACAGGAAAAGCCGTACCAATGTTCAGAGTGTAACAAGGCTTTCAGTCAAAAGCGAGGCCTAGATGAGCACATGAGAACCCACACCGGAGAGAAGCCGTTTCAGTGTGATGTGAGTTACCTGTACCTTTGTCTTCTTGACTTCAGTGCAGCAGCAGGAGTTAATTGCAGTGAGACTATGGCCTTGCACGTATTGGCTGTGGCATAAAGTTACACTTCATATGGTCTTTGATTGCCTAACTAATGAAAGACCATTCAGGGAACTTTATGTACCCTCTTCAGTTGGCAGGAGCATCGCACACCCTTTTATTTTATGGTTTTGGATCCCTTAAGAGTTATTTTCACTATTATTAATGCAGTTTGGATGTTCCAAGTTACAGATTCATGCTGGTTGGGTTCCTGTATAAATAGTATGACAGTTTAATACTTGAAGATTAGCTTATACAGGAAAAGGCATTTAATTCATTATATGCAATCTGAATGTTTCTGATGTTGTTGAATGACACACCTACGAATTCAGAATTTCCAATTTCTGTTTAGTGAAATCTGGTCTGATATTCTCCACATCTGCTCATAGTTGTTGGTTTTTTTAATTGTGCAATGAAGAAATCATGGATGCTGTGTTTGCTTGCAGCGCTGAAATGCAGCATATAATATTACAGTTCATAGATCACTGTCAAGTACCTTTCATTCAGCATACCCCATCCTGTATACAACATATCTCACAGCTTTTGGAAGGTAGGTGGGGAGGCTGAACGTGCAGAAACTGTTGGAAAAGGATGTCTTTCAGAATTATCAAATGCCAGAATTTAAGTTGTTGCCCGAGGACTTAGAGAAGGGCATTGGAATAGGGTACAGAATTAGTACAGGTGCCTTGTTTTGTGATACTAGCTCTTAATAAACTAAGTCATAAGGGAACTGTCAGCTTTCAGTTATATCCTAGGTGGCTCAGTCTGAACAGTTGTAAATTTGTTCACAGATTTCTAAAATTAGATGCGAAATTAGAATAACCACTTGGCATGAAAGTTGCAAGGATCTGTTAATTGATCTGGCTTTTAATAAATAATCTGGTAACGTTTCACTGAGAATAAAATGTATTCATTTAATGAAAAATTTCAGCTACAGTATTTTGCTGATGTCTACAAGGCAGGAGATTTGCTGTATTCTTTTGGGATAATCACAGCCTGGCTCTAGATAGTACCTGGAGGATTTCTTTAATTCCAAATCATTGTCAATAATTTTTTCAGCTTTCAGATTGCTGTGCTGTTTATCAGCTGTTGGCTAGCTTTCAGTGTAAATGCAATTTTTCCCACACTGTGGATACAAGATTTGCTGGTCTTGGATATTCACAGTGTGCTTTTTCAGACCAGTTTGGGGTGGTGGTTATCTTTTATTATTTTTTCTTTCTTTAATTTAAAATAGGAGCTGTATGAAAACACGTTTTACTGCTTCAACTATTTCTTCAGTTTTCCTCATTAATTAGATAGAACTGTATTTTCCCAAATCACAGTATTTCTAGAAACAGCTGTAATATGTGTCTAATCTTAGTCCTTCCCTGAGAATTTTTATGTACCTTCATTTACTGGAAATTTTTTTTACACTTTAAATTACTACCATGTTTCAGTAAAATTATTCTTCAGCACTAGTCTTTTGCCAGCTGCACACTGCAGAGATTGCTGACTTTTCAGGGTTTGGACATAAGCAGCAGTTGCCTCTACTATTCATTCATATACTCTTCAGTTGCCCAGGTGCCTACCATGGTTTGCTGCTTAATGCACAGTTGGAGAGTGTTGAAAGTTTTGTTTTCTATTGTTACTCCTTATTTCATCTAGCCTTCACTTCTGCAGATGCTGGGGATATAGTAAATGTCATCCAGAGCAGACCGTTCCTCCAGAGCCGTCTTGCATAGCAGGAGTTACAGGAAAACCAGTAGTGGACAGTTACAGAACAATATACCTATGGGAGATATTTATTGTTGGCTCCCCAGTACTAAAGATTGCCTTTTACACTCAAATATTCTCACCTACAATTTTTTATCCTGCTAAAGATAGCTGTAGATGTTCTCATTATTTTTCTTATAATGACTTGGGTGGGAATTTATGGCAACAAATTCCACAAACTCTTAACTGTGGAAAGGGATCTTGGGGAAGGGAGAGTGTGTCAGTTTACTGCAATGGAATTTCAATAACTGTCTCTTAGTTCTTAACAGAAAGGGTTAATAGCTGTTCCATTCATTGCTTTTTGTACATGTGCCATGTTCCTTCTTAGTCAACTTCTCTCAAGTTATTTCTCTTTCCAACACTTTGCCTGATGACTTCTCATGTTCATAATTGTTTTTGTTACTATTTTCTAGATTTTTTTTTTCCCCTCCATTTCCATTGCATGTTTTAAGAGGTGAAGGCATACTTTTGGTATGCCCTTACTCATTAAAGTAATTGGAAAAGTCTGCGAGTCCAATGCCCAGACCTACTAATAACCCTTTAAAGGTGAAAACCAGCCTATTTCTTCAATGATTAGCATATTCATAAATGTAATAATAAATGAAGCCACACTAAAAGACAAAAATCTTAAGAGCATCAAGGGTTTTGGTCTTATTTCCTACCTGGCATTAGAAGCGATCACAGAAACTATTCAGCTCTTTCTTCTAGATAACATGTTAATATTCACTGTCAGAATTTTCTTTCTTTCTTAGTACCATTAGCATTTACAAACAGGAATTGTCTCCAGTGCCAAAGAACTGAAGAAAGAAAACTTTTGGCTATTGAGGGAAAATGTGTATTTTATGGGCTCAAGCACACCCACTATAAACTACTACATACAAATTTCTTTAGATTGCATTTTTGCTTTAAATAGAATTTTCTTCCAGAGTCAGAAATGAAAGCCATGTCTTCTCTTCCTCTCACACTCTCCTCTCTCTCAGGCATATGGAACAGACAGTACAGTACAGGATTGTGCTACATGTAGAAGTAATCCTTGTACCCTGTTTGATGAAGGTGCTACAGTTCATTTATGTGGCTATTTCTGTGTGTTATCAGTCAACAAAAGCATTTTCAGAACTTACTGTTAGTGACTCAAAGCTCTCACATCCAACTGATAATAGTGGAAATTGAATAGTCCCATTAGAAGGTAAAAATTCTGGTATGTATCACACAGGAAAGTGAAAATAACTGAAATACGGAAATGCAAAATGTGTTTTTTTCCAAGTATATTAGATGTCTGTCCTCTGAAGACCAGCCTGTTTTTTACTGGAAGGCCAAGTGAACTTCAGTTGCCTCAGAGACAACAGATTTTTCCTTGGGGGCAGAAAGGTCAGGTACTGCCTGTCCTGGTTTCTTTCCAGTATAGTATTTCTCTCCACTCTGCCTTTAGCTGACCCTACACTTACTTTCAAATGTCAGTCTTTTCCATCCTCCCTACTCAATCAAAACTTTGATCATTTTGAAGAGATTGATTAGAGTTCAAGTGCCCATTAGCAAGCATGATTGTAAATCTATAAAATGTCAGTCTTGCTTATAAAATTGAAATACGAAGTAAGCTTAGAAAAACGAAAAACATTTATGCATAAGCACAGCACAAGTTGTATCATATTTTTAAGTAATCATCCTGTGCATTCCATGTTCTTTTTGAAGAAGTTAGGTAGTCAAACATGCTAGAGCCTTGAAGGAACAGCAGGACACAATAAACTAATTGTTACATAAGCATTATAAATGAAAAAAAAGATACTTTAAGACTGTGTTATAAGCTGTTTACTTTAAAAATGAAGAGGCATGTGTAAGATACACAGAACACATATGTATCTTTGTAGGTGCGTATATCCTTGATTGGCTTCCTGGCTTCCAAGAAACGTGTTGTGTTTACAAGATGTGATACTTCTAACATGTTGAGGCTTGTGATCAAGCATGACAGTTATGATTGGATAAATGTTATGAGTTCACTTTGTGCGTTCTGTGGAAGAGGAATAGAAAATGGTACTTCGCAAAAGCAATATTAAGACTTGACCAGTGGATGCCGTAAGCAACCTTCCCTGTCACAGAACAAAAGAGTGACTGTTGCTTAGGTCTGAAAGAGGTGATTATACATTTAGGGAAAAAAAGTTGGAGGGTTACAGTTGCTGTATAAAAGTCCTTGGTATTATGTCATGTGATAAATTCAAAAATGTTCCATTGTAACAGCACATACAGTGTTCTTGTCTGGGGAAAAGTTATTTTGGGTACAAAATTTGCCTCTGGCAGTTCCCCTTTTGATGGTCATTGTATGGTTTTACCTTAATTGGCATAAAATACATATGCTGCAGGTCAAGATTTTCTACTTGGATAGTCAGCTCTATTTGTCTGTCTTGGTTAGTAATCGTTTAGCATTTTCATTACTAGTTTGCTACCAATAAGAACTTAAAACTTCATTTTCCTAAAGAGAGATTGTGCTGGGTTCCCTGAGTTTCCTCTGCATGGAAGGCATTTTTGTCTGGAATGAACCTGGAATTCTAAGATTGCAAGCTTATGGATATTAATTTCTATTTAATTATATAACCCTTGCCCATTTCATTTGTCAAACCAGGAACATGCTTTCTTTTTTTTTTTTTTTCCCTTTCTTTCCTGGGAAATTCATGCCTAGAATATGTACCTGGAATGTAAGGTGAATGTGACAATATTTACTGCACCATCAATTGACCTGATGTCTTGCCTACGGATCTTAACTTTTCATTCTAACTTCTCTTGGCTGAACTTGTTCTTAACCTTTCATTTTGACTTCAGTACAGGATTTTTTTTTTATAAGAAATGATGGTTTTAGTATAGCAGAGTCCCTCATTCCTATGTCCATTTATTCAAATGGCAGAATGAACTGAACTGCTTGGAGTACAGTGGAGGAAGGGAAGCAGCACACCAGATAATATAGCAAAGGAATTGCACCTTCATTTGCTATATGTCTTCTGTTTTCTTGGCCAGGCAGAGGAAGACTGGAACAATGAGGTTTCCTCTATAATAATTACGAACCTTTCTTGCAGTCTTCAGAGCCTCTTTTTTCTTCTCACTCCTCCCCTCCTTGTAACTGAGCAATTTGAACTGATTTTTTAGGAACCCGCAGATGTTATTCTGGAGGTCATGAAGGAAATAATGTAACTGGGACACCTCAGTGCGTTAATATTTTGAAGATTGGGTCTTTCCCCCCACACCCTCCCTTTTTTTTTTTTCCCTCTCCCCTGTGCCTGTGGTACAACTGTTAATGTACAACATTGAGAGATACCAAACAGAGTAACAATCTTTAAGGTGCTCTCTGAAGGAGTTATTCCTCCAAAGACCAGCTCATTTATTAAGTATTGCAGGTATGTGTGGCTGTGGCCTCAGTGATCTAACATAAGGAGCATTATACATGCTTAAAGTTTTAAGACTTCTTTTGTCTTTGTCTTGTCTTCACTGCCTTAGGTTTGTGATCTGTCCTTCAGCCTGAAGAAAATGCTGATCCGCCACAAGCTGACTCACAACCCCAATAGACCGATGGCAGAATGCCAGCTTTGCCACAAGAAGTTTACAAGAAATGACTACCTCAAAGTGCACATGGAAAATGTCCATGGTGAAACAGACAGCTAATTACGGCCTGTGTGAGAAGAGAAGAATGGATCTCGCGTTCCAAAGTGCTCCATTTGTACGTGTACGAACTCCAGACTTCTCACCTGACTAGTAAGCATAGTCAGGAGAAACAAATGTAATGTGTTCACATGTTATTTTTCCCACTTTTTTCTTAAATATACTAATAGGATAAAAACCAAAGAAAGACATTTACCTGAAGTAAAATATAGCTTCAAATTAGAAATTTGAAGATAAAAGAACTTTGGGAAAATCTTGCCCTCATTTAAAAAAAAAAAAAAAAGAAAGCAAAAAAAAAAGCTTTAAACAAACTTCTTCTCAATTACAGCCTTAGAAAAATAGATATTGGTAGCATTACCTGGAAATGCTGGACATTTGGAACTGAACCCTTGGCTGTATGCAACTGTATTTCTGTATCTAAGCTTCAAGACTCCATTAAAATTCTTTAGTTTGAAACCACGCAGAATTTGTCATTCTAATTGACTGCTGATTGCATCCAGGCATATTTTATTCAGATTTTAATTCTGCATTTTGTGTAACATGATTTTGTCTCATTTTATTTACAGCTTTCTCATTACTAGATGAAACTCATTAACTTGAATTGGTTCTTGAGATGCCAAAATGTATGCGTACAGAAACTGTGGAAATCTGTCATGTTAAGTATTTCTGTATGAGCACTGAGGAGGATGTATTTCTTCTGGTTACATGAAATGAGACTGAAGTGAAAACTTTGAGCAATTTAGTTTAAGTACTATATTCTTACTCATCACTGTGACTGGCAAGGCAAGTGGAAAGACATCTCTAACAGAGTGGTTTGAGCAGCTACAGTTACCTAGTTAACATGTATTTGATTTCCTGGTGAACAGCTAGGTCCCAGAGTGTTTCTTCCTG